TTCAGACTGTGTTTACACTGTTTGCTGTCTGCTGCGCTGCGCAGAAGTTTTTTTTTGCGTGTGCGTTCTGTTTTCGTCATCAGTTTCTACTTTTTCTACTTTCACTGCTGATGGCTTCTTGAAGTTTTTTTTCTTAGTTCCAAAAAATATCTTCTTCTTTTGATAACCACCACTTTTTCAACCACCACCACCACCACCACTACCATCACAGCCACCGTTACTAGTCAGCATGGCTGGCAGAGGAAGACCGAGGAAGAAGAAGACGGTGGACGACTTCTCTTCCGAATCTGAATCTGACTCCAGCTCCGAAGAGGAAGAGGTTGCGGAGGAGGACACAAGCGAGGATGAGGCGGAGGATTTAGAAGAAGACTACGACGACGAGGATGATGATGATCTGCTAGAAGGTGCTGACGCTCCCAAGACTTCGAAGTCATTTTCCACCAGTGGACGACAGCTGAAGCGGTATCTGGCCGGCTGCGTCCTCGTGCCCTACCGCTGGAGCCGCCGACTGACGGAGGACCTCGATGACCGGGGGCCGCTCGTCTACTACTGCAGTCCTTCCGGTTCGATTTCGCCATGTTGGATTTTCCACTCGATAACATTTCCTTTTCAGGCCGCGTCCTCCGAAGCCTCGACGAGGTGGCCAACTACATGAGCGAGCCCAACGCCTGCAACTGCTACCTCCCCGGTGACCTGAAGCTCGCGGACAGCTTCGACTTTGACGCGAGGGTCAGCGGCCTGGCGCTGGCGCCGCCCCCTTTGGCGCTCAGCTACAACGGCAGCAGCAGCAGACCTCAGCGGCGGCCGCGCTGTCTAGCGTGGCTGGACAAGGTGGGCGGGGACTGGGCCGCCGCCCTTCGCCCTCGCGTCGAGCGGGCGCTCCTCCGCGAGGTGGTCACCGACCAGCAGGAGGCGGTGGCCATCGCCGGGCGGTCACTGGGGGGCGGCCCCACTCCGGCGGCGGCCCTTGTTCGGCTGCACGGGCAGCGCTTCGACTGGAGCGAGGTGCACGTCCTGCGCGACGGGCGCCTGTACCTGCGCCAGACGAGCGCCTCCATGTGGCGGCACCGCCTCTACGAGTGGAAGAACAGCTCGCTGGTGTGCGGACCGGTGCTAAGGACGGGACCGGGGCTGGGGCATCCAAAGAAGACGTCTACTCCTCCTCCTCGTCCTGCTGCTGCTTTGAGTCCTGCAAAGACGCCCACTTCTTCTTCGGCGAGCAAAGAGAAGAAAAAAGAGGAAGAGGAGGATGAGGTGTGGTTCACGCCTGAAAAGAAAGAGGAGCAGGAAGAGGAGGAGCGGAAGGTTTCGTCGACGAAGAAGAAGGTGCTCACAGTGAAGCGTCGACTGTGGCAGGGAGATGAGGAGGACGAGGATGAAGAGAAGGAGGAGGAGAAGGAGGAGGAGGAAGTCCCTGCAGGTGACAAGCGAGTGCTTCGCAGTTCGGCCAATCCGGTAAGTACTTCTAGTTGAGAAGTACATTGGAGTTCAGCCAGTTTTGATAACATCACTTTTGTTTTCATTGTGCAGGTCGCTTCTCCGCAGAAAGTTCAGCTATTGTCGCCTTCGAAATCGGTGGCCGCCTCTCCGGCAAAGCAGCAGTCGCCTACTAAGCAACAGACGCCACCACCACCACCCCCGGCAACACCTACTAAGTCGTCACCATTAAAGTCTCATCGCCAATCATCACCACAACCATTAGTATCACCAATTAAAACTCGCCAATCATCGTCATCACCATCACCACCAGCTGAACCATCGCTGACCACAACCATTGAAAAGGTAAATGAAGACGAAAATGGACACATCGAAGACCACAGCATGACTAACAATGCCAGAACGAACAATAAGGACCTGGATTGCTGCGTGGACGAAGAGGTGTCAAAGACACAGGGTGAGAATTCGGACACAGAGGCGGAGGCCGACGAGGAGAGCTTTGAGACCCTCAACAGCCTCTACCGAAAATCCTGCAGTCAGCCAGCTCAGACGACTTCAGGAGGAGCTTCAGGAGGAGGTGGTGATGGCTCTGCGGGAACCGTTTCCACAAGTCAGAATGTTCAGCAGCAAAAGCAGCAGCCACAGCACTCAACTCTGAGAAAAACAAAGCGGCAGCGAATAATCCTCGCGACCATCACCGACGACGCCAACTTTTGTGACGACGATAGCGACTACTGTGTCGACTCCTCTTCAGACTACAGTGTCACAGGAAAAGACAAGGGGAAGAAGGGCGGTGGCGGCAAAGAAAGACAGCAGCATGGGAAGAGGAGGAAGACCACAACCACCACCTCCTCAAACCGATCATCATCACATTTTCCCCATTCTCAGCATTTGACCCGTCAGAGCGTGAGAGCTTCTAAATCGCCGACGCCGCCGCCACGACCCAAGCGCTTGACTTTGTTGTCCTCATCGCCGCTGCTGACCAGCAGCAACAACAACAACAACTACATCCGAAGCAGCAGCAGCAACAATCGCAAACGAGGAGCAGCAAGTCTTCTGCCAAAGAGCACTCGAACCAGTGGTGTTATCCACGAGGTGATTGACATTTCATCCGATGAAGGGGAGGCCGTGGGTGTTGTGGCTCAGGTGATTAGTGGCGATGGTAGTTCTCCGATTGAGACGAAGCCATCCTTGCCCTTGCCGCCGGCGTNGTGTTGTGGCTCAGGTGATTAGTGGCGATGGTAGTTCTCCGATTGAGACGAAGCCATCCTTGCCCTTGCCGCCGGCGTCGTCCACTTCTGTGAAGAGATCTGCCACCTCTTCCACCTTCTCTTCTTCGGCTGCGGCAGCTAAAGAGACACCGAAGAAGAAGAAGAAACGCCGTCGAATTGTTTTGAAGATTTAGTCGGGATTGTCACCTTTTTAAAGTTCACGGTTGGGCATTTTCCATTTGATCATCTCATTTTCGGGTTTTCTCCTCTCCGAATCTCCACCACTACCTAGCTAGCTACCAGATACCAGTACAAACTCTCTTTCTCTCCCACATAAGCACACCTACTCTCTTATCGCAGCTCATCCCATCCACACTATTACGCCATACCCCAGTTCTTTCTTTACTTCATTTTAACATTCTCCCTCCATTACTTGTCTTTGTAGTCATCATCAGTCGTGCGTCACTAAATGGTGCGCCAAGTATTTGTAAACCAGTGAAATAAAATCCGAAGGTAAAGTTCGACAACACAGAAAGAGTTTCGATTTTTCTTAAAAACGGTAACGTCATTGATGAAGGGACCTGAATCAGCTGTTCAGAAAAAACGTGAGCTTTTTTTCTGGTTCACCGTTAGTCGTACTTCAGCTGTTATCGGGAGAGGACGTGCGTTTGCATCACTGAACCATTTTTTCTGTTGCCTCCATTCTACTTCTCAGTTCTATTTCTCCATCCAACGGATCATTTTCATCAATTCTGTTTCTCAGTTCAAAGAAAATCTTCATTCTCATCTTTAATCCACCGAGGAAGGTAAGTTTTAGTGATTCTCTGTGAGAGTGCTGTTATTTTCTGTTGTTGCTGTTTTTGCAAACTTATGAGAACTTTTGATTTCGATTTCGATTTCACATCGTCCCACCTCTTACTCGCTTTCTTCCGAATATTGTCCAAAGCAACCCAAATCACAACCACCAGCAGTCACCATGTCGGTGATCAGCACCGACGGAACGCTGGTTCCCTGTCCCTTCGATCCGCACCACAAGGTGAGCGAGCGGCGGCTCAAGTTTCACACCATCGCCTGCGCCTCGAGGCGCCTCGGCGAGTTCGACACCTGCAAGTACAATGCCGCACACTTTGTGCCGCTGGGCGAGCTGGAGAAACACTACACTTCCTGTGCGGACTTTATGGCCGCCATTCAGCACGTCAAGAAGACGGTGGTGGTGGACAAACAAGGGGAGGCATCAAAGGAGAAGAAGGAATCTCCGGTGATGGTGGAAAAGCCACAGCAGCAAGGTCCAGCGATGATGAAACCGCTGATCAGCTTCGGTGACGAAGAGGACATTTTGTCGGCAGCAATACCTCCTCCACCACCACCACCACCACCACCACCAACACAAGCTGAAGCTCAAAATCGAACCTTTGCAGACGGCGGTGACTACTTTGTCGACAGTTTCGAAAACAGTGAATATAGCCGAAGCAGCAGAAACTTTAGCTCTAGAACCTCAAACTACAGCAATTTCACCAAAAGGAGCCAAAGAAGCATCAGCAACAGCAGCAGCAGCTGCAGCACCACCACTAGCAACACAAGCAATGGTCATCACCATTTCGAAAACAGTCCCATCGACCCACCACAACCACCAACACAGCCATCACCACCATCACCACCACCACAACTTCCGGGCGCCTTTGCCATGCC